ACTGACACCCACATAGACCTGGCTCGGATGCCACTATTGGGGAACGCGGTAATTTCAAAATTTTCCTGCGCACACGCAAGATCTATCATGGTGATGCATAGCAACGAGAGGGGAAGAGTGTTGTCCACGTACCCTCATAGACCGTAAGCGGAAGCGTTATGACAACGCGGTTGATGTAGTCGTACGTCTTCACGATCCGATGATCCTAGTACCGAAAGTACGACACCTTCGCGATCTGCACATGTTCGGCTCGGTGACGTCCCACGAACTCTCAATCCAGCTGAGTGTCAAGGGAGAGCTTCGTCAGCACGACGGCGTGATGACGGTGATGATGAAGATACCAGCGCAGGGCTTCGCCTAAGCACTACAACGATATGACCGAGGTGGATTATGGTGGAGGGGGGCGCCGCACACGGCTAAGACAGTTGTCTGTTGTGTGTTCTAGGGTGCCCCCTGTCCCCATATATAAAGGAGCAAGGGGGAGGCTGGCCGACCTTAGGGCGCGCCAAGCAGGGGAGGAATCCTCCTCCTGGTAGGAGTAGGATTCCTCCTTTCCTAGTCCTACTAGGAGGGGGAAGGAAGGAGTGGGAGAGGGGAAGGAAAGGGGGGCGCCACCCCCCTCCTAGTCCAATTCAGACTCAAGGGGGAGGGGGCGCGCGGCCTGCCCTGGCAGCCCCTCTCTCTCTCCACTAAGGCCCATCTAGGCCCACTAGTTCCCTGGGGGTTGGTAACCCTCAGGCACTCCGGTTTTCTCCGAAATCACCCGGAACACTTCCGGTGTCCGAATATAGCCGTCCAATATATCAATCTTTATCTCTCGACCATTTTGAGACTCCTCGTCGTGTCCGTGATCCTATCCGAGACTCCGAACTATCTTCGGTACATCAAAACACATAAACTCATAATACTGATCGTCATCGAACGTTAAGCTTGCGGACCCTACGGGTTCGAGAACTATGTAGACATGACCGAGACATGTTTCCGGTCAGTAACCAATAGCGGAACCTGGATGTTCATATTGGCTCCTACACATTCTACGAAGATCTTTATCGGTCAAACCGCATGACAACATACGTTGTTCCCTTTGTCATTGGTATGTTACTTACCCAAGATTCGATCATGAGTATCTCAATACCTAGTTCAATCTTGTTACCCGCAAGTCTCTTTACTCGTTCCGTAATGCTACATCCCGTAACTAACTCATTAGTCACATTGCTTGCAAGGCTTATAGTGATGTGCATTACCGAGAGGGCCCAGAGATACCTCTCCGATACACGGAGTGACAAATCCTAATCTCGACCTATGCCAACTCAACAAACACCATCAGAGACACCTGACGAGCATCTTTATAGTCACCCAGTTACGTTGTGACGTTTGATAGCACACTAAGTGTTCCTCTGGTATTCGGGAGTTGCATAATCTCATAGTCATAGGAACATGTATAAGTTATGGAGAAAGCAATAGCAATAAACTAAACGATCATAGTGCTAAGCTAACGGATGGTTCAAGTCAATCACATCATTCTCTAATGATGTGATCTCGTTTATCAAATGACAACTCTTTGTCCATGGCTAGGAAACTTAACCATCTTTGATTAACGAGCTAGTCGAGTAGAGGCATACTAGTGACACTCTGCTTGTCTATGTATTCACACATGTACTAAGTTTCCGGTTAATACAATTCTAGCATGAATAATAAACATTTATCATGATATAAGGAAATATAAATAACTTTATTATTGCCTCTAGGGCATATCCGAAACCATTTCGGTGTCTGAATATAGCCGTCCAATATATCAATCTTTACCTCTCGACCATTTCGAGACTCCTCGTCATGTCCATGATCTCATCCAGGACTCCGAACAATCTTCGGTCACCAAAACACACAACTCATAATACAAATCATCATTGAACGTTAAGCGTGCGGACCCTATGGGTTCGAGAACTATGTAGACATGACCGAGACACATCTCCGGTCAATAACCAACAGTGGAACCTGGATGCTCAGATTGGTTCCTACATATTCTACGAAGATCTTTATCGGTCAAACCGCAATGACAACATACATCATTCCCTTTATTATTGGTATGTTACTTGCCCGAGATTCGATCGTTGGTATCTTCATACCTAGTTCAATCTCGTTACCGGCAAGTCTCTTTACTCGTTCCGTAATGCATCATCCCGCAACTAACTCATTAGCACATTGCTTCCAAGGCTTATCGTGATGTGCATTACCGAGAGGGCCCAGAGATACCTCTCTGATACTCGGAGTGACAAATCCTAATCTCGATCTATGCCAACCCAACAAACACCTTCGGAGACACCTGTAGAGCATCTTTATAATCACCCAGTTACGTTGTGACGTTTGATAGCACACAAGGTGTTCCTCCGGTATTCAGGAGTTGCATAATCTCATAGTCAAAGGAATATGTATAAGTCATGAAGCAATCAATATCAATAAAACTTCATGATCATTATGCTAAGCTAACGGATGGGTCTTGTCCATCACATCATTCTCCTAATGATGTGATCTCGTTCATCAAATGACAACACATGTCTATGGTCAGGAAACTTAACCATCTTTGATTAACGAGCTAGTTAAGTAGAGGCATACTAGGGACACTTTGTTTTGTCTATGTACTCACACATGTATCAAGTTTCCGGTTAATACAATTCTAGCATGAATAATGAACATTTATCATGATATAAGGAAATATAAATAACAACTTTATTATTGCCTCTAGGGCATATTTCCTTCAAAAATATTGACATATGGAGAGATGCATGGATCCTGAATTGTGCGAATAGGAGAATTATTACTCCTAGACGAGGGAATCTACCGACGAAAGTTTCTGACCTTATTGATCCAGTCATGAACGGTTGGGATGAAGGTTTGGTGAGACAAACATTGTGGCCAATTGATGCTCGAAGAGTCCTAGCGATCCCTCTCCCTATGCATAATATGTCGGATTTCATTGCTTGGAGCTATACTAAAAATGGTTTGTTTACTGTACGATCAACTTATTTGGAGGAATAGAATAAACAACACAGTAGGAAACTGGAATACACAAATGGTATGGGTAGAAGTAAGGGCAATCCTATTTGGGGTAAGATCTGGAAATTAGCTTTAGGAGTGTGTGTGTGTGGGGGGGGTGTATGAGACAGTTAAAAGAGCTTGTGTGGTCGATCGGGCGGGAGAGACAATCCTTGAATTAGTACTCCTCATGCCAGATCAAGAACTATCTATATTGGGTTTTCAGAATGCACTGGAGATGATCATTATAACCGTGTGGTATCTATGGTGAAATAGACGGAAGCTAGTTCATGAGGGAATGTCTAAAGAGGCGTACTAAACCTCGATGGGGATTTGTGCCAGAACGACAAATTATGTTAATGCCCCCTAATGCAAAGAGAAAGAATGAAGGATGGATCAGACCCCCTAGGGGGTTTGTTAAGCTGAATGTGGATGTTTTTTAATCATGATCTGCTAAGGGGCACATCGGGTGCCGTTCTTAGGGATGACAAAGGAAATTTCATTGCTGGCGGAAATCAAAAAATTGAATGGTATGTTGATGTGCTGACAGCTAAAGCATTGGCACTTAGGTTCGGCTTATTGCCGACACAAAAGGCGGGTTGCAATCGTCTCGTTATTAACTCTGACAACATTCAACATGAAAGTCATTGACACAATGAAGAACGAAGGACATTCTGCAGGAGCGACGACCGCAGTTTTTGATGATTGCTATTTTATGGCTTGCGATTTTCCTCTTACTAGTTTTGAACATTGGAAAGCAAATAAAGTAGCTCATGAGCTTGCTAGTCTAGCAAAATGTTTCGTGACAAGGGATTGGGTGGAGGAACCTATGAAACAAATTGTACCTCATCTTATAAACTACGTAACCATTATTTCTAATTAATAAAGTTGCTGATGTTTTTCAAAAAAAAGAACTTGCTTTTCAAAAGATTTTTTTGTCAAAACATGGCAGTGCGGTATCAGTTTCGAAGATGTTTTGAGAACACACGATGAAAACATATTTTGATTTGGACACACGGTTTGGAGGAATGCATTTTCTAATACTCGACGATCAAGTTTCATATATAACCATGCGCCAACCTTCCGGGGTGATCACAATTAGTATTATTTTCTTTCTTCACTATTATGACAGCCCGCGTCCCAAATGTTATGCTATATACTACTCCCTCTGTTGAAAAATACTCGCTCCGTTTCTAAATATATGACGTTTTAGTAGTTCAATGTCACATATCCAAATGTTATGCTATATACTACTCCCTCTGTTGAAAAATACTCGCTCCGTTTCTAAATATATGACATTTTAGTAGTTCAATGTCACATATTTAGGAATGAAGGGAGTACTAAATATATGATGTTTTAGTAGTTCAATGTCACATATTTAGGAATGAAGGGAGTACTAAATATATGATGTTTTAGTAGTTCAATGTCACATATTTAGGAATGAAGGGAGTATAAGATGTTCTAACTTTTTTCTGAATTGGATGTACATAGACACATTTAAGTGTGTTTGTTCACTTATTTCAGTCTGTATGTAGTTCATATTGAAATATCCAAAACATCTTAAGGGATTTTTCTTTATCAGTAGCTTCGAGTAAATATTATGATACGAATGCAGGAGGAACTTAGATCTGATTCATGTGTGCATAATGAAACTGCTTTCAGGCTGCAAAACAATTTTACACTATGATTGAAATGTTTATGTATCACCTATCATACAAGCTGAATTTCAAATGGTACATTGCCTCTGAGTTGAGAAAACTCTTTAGTATTGACATGTGACCACACTAACTGCAGCAAATGTTTCCCGGCTTCCTAAGCTGTCAACTAGGAAGGAACATGTTCAACTTCTCCAAACCACTACCATGAGTTCACCGATCTGTTGTCGAATGCGTGGGGAACAACCATTCATGGCCAGATATAACCAGTTCAGCCCGCCATATTTATCAGCAAAGTTGCGGTGAGTCAGCTCAATGAGACTGCGCTTCAAGCAGGATGTTTGTGGCTACATTGATATCATTTCTGGCTCGCACGAGGGCCTGTCTCGCAGCATTGCTGTCAAAGCCCATCGATACCAGCATAGCAATGGAGGACTCTGGGGGCTCCACAACAGGAGCAAACCCAGTAGACGGCTGGTTCTGTTTGCAAAAGGAACATGATCAAAAGATTAACCAGCGTAAATAGCATCAGGTTGTTGATATCCTTTTGTGAAGTGCATAGAAATTCAATATTATTCATAATAAGTTTAAAGTCTTGTAACCCCTCAATCAACAGTTGTCGTGTGCAGTAGAAAAATAATACAGATGATGGTTTGTATGTACCAAATGAAACCTAGTAACCCGTTAGATGTGAACTATCAATAGTCTTGTGAACAATATCAACCATACAGGCAAGTCTGCTATTTATACTTGGGTTAAGGTTAAATATCTAATTGGTCCATGTTCACTTCAGTGACTGTAGATCTTCGACACATATGATTGAATGGTACCACAAAAATAATATCTAACTCGGTGAAAGTTGCCCGTTATAATATGCTTACGTGGCCATCTGCACTTCATGTGAACAGACACTGTCTAAACAATGAACAATCAACGCCAGAATCCAGAATGACGAAGAAAATATTAACCTTGCAGGCATTTTTATATTTATAAAGGACAGTACTTTAGCGTTGCTAATATTTAACCAGGCAATTTCTGAGTTCAACTCGACAGCTGTACTTCACGTGAACAGAATCTAGAGGGATCAATGCATGGAGAAATCAAGCTTCCAAAATAGCATTTCAGAAACTAACCTGAACAGTACGGCCTGTATGCGAAGGCACATTTCCAACAAGACTTCTTGACGGCCGAGATGAGCTTGCTGAAGGAGGTACAAAAACTCTTGCGAAAAATGATGCAACAATCTGTGGAAGCTGCACAAAGGAGAAGGAACTTAACAAGAAAACAAAACAGGAAGAATAGAGCATCTACACTCTACAGGGATTTATATATGAAAATAATTGCAAGGAACACCGACAATATTAATCAATAATTTGAGCATTAATATACTCCAATTAACACCACCTGCTACCATTAGTCAGCATGGACCATACTGGCTGTCTTGTATGTTTTCTTAATTACTTGATAACACCAGTACCTAGACATAACCTATGCCAACATTACATTACTTGCTGATTGCATATCTAATAATTTGGAAAGCTGGGTCATGGACAGCAGCCAAGGGTATCATCCAAGGGGCACTAACTTCTTTAAATGAAAAGGAGCTAGAACTACCATGGTGCTGATAAGATATAATGCATAATTTCAGGCAAGCCAGAGAACTACACAGAAAAATGAAAATCAACCATATAAAAATGACAACCAAAAAGATACAAGGTCAATAGCAGTCCATCACGCAAAGAAAAAGGTAACAGGACTACACAGAAGTGCAAAAGGAAAAAAAAAAAAGAGATCTTATAACCTTCCTCCGGCGGATGCCAAACACATTGAGACGATAGAGCGAACCGGCAATCAGGCCACAAATACCAGGAATAAGGGAACGCTTCCAAGAAGATACAAGAAGCTGCCATGAGAAACAGGATAGGTGAGTAATTTAATATTCAAATTTAAATGGTATAGAAATGGTTCAGTTCTGATACAAACTAACCTGCAGGCCAGCTAGGTATATGAATGATTTATCACTGAAATTAACGCCAAAAATACGAAATCGTGAAGTGATGGGAATGTCGAGGAAAAAAGGAATAAACGAGGCAAATATAAGGCCATAAGGTCCAGATGCAAGAGCAGTGATGTAGTTTGTATCTGCAAGAAAAACATGAAAGGGGGTGTCTAAATAATCTCATAACTGGATAACAGAGAACTCAACGAGTACATATGCTCACAATATGCAATGCTCATGATCACACGGGTGAAACAAAGCAATGCTCATGATTACACGACTAATTGCCATATAATATTACTGTGTAACCTCCTAGCACCAGCATTTCTATTGAAAAACTATGTTTGGAAGAAATCAATAGTCTAACTGTATGATGGCATGCAACCAACATCTCTAGATAAGGCTCACTGTAGTTAACTTGAATTAACAGCATACAACAGCAAAGCAGAGTGCAGCCAAAGAAAGCCTAAATCTTAGATTTAACACACAAAAATATCATATGTTAAGGGAAAATTCTGTCTCACAAAGATACATCTACTAAACTCCGCCTATGTTGTCTCAACATAGCCGGTCCCAAGCCCGGGTAAAGGAGGAGGGTTGTGATAAGCTTGGCGAGCCAACGTAAAAACTCAGCCACTCTTATGGAGATGAAACCCAAAAGATTTTCGTTGGGGCGTAACCCTCTCAGCGACGCGCTACATCGGAACCCGGGTGTGGTGGAAAATGGGCAAGGGCCGGGCCATCACCCCCAAGGTGGCGAGCTGTATCTTGATCCGGATACGGTGGCAAGTGAGCGAGGATCGGGTCGTCGCATCCTTAGTGGCGCGCTACATCGGCGCCCGGATGTAGTGGAAAATGGGCAAGGGTCTTCGCATTTGACTCGACGAGTGCGAAGGGTAAGGAAGCTAGCCGAGCCTAGGAGGATTCGCTTAGGTAGCTGGAACGTAGGGTCTCTGACAGGGAAGCTTCGGGAGCTAGTTGATGCAGCGGTGAGGAGAGGTGTTGATATCCTTTGCGTCCAAGAAACCAAATGGAGAGGACAGAAGGTGAAGGAGGTGGAGGATACCGGCTTCAAGCTGTGGTACACAGGGACGGCTGCAAACAGAAATGGCGTAGGCATCTTGATCAACAAGAGCCTCAAGTATGGAGTGGTAGACGTCAAGAGACGTGGGGACCGGATTATCCTGGTCAAGCTGGTAGTTGAGGACTTGGTTCTCAATGTTATCAGCGCGTATGCCCCGCAAGTAGGCCACAATGAGAACACCAAGAGGGAGTTCTGGGAAGGCCTGGAAGACATGGTTAGGAGTGTACCGATTGGTGAGAAGCTCTTCATAGGAGGAGACCTCAATGGCCACGTGGGTACATCTAACACAGGTTTTGAAGGGGCGCACGGGGGCTTTGGCTATGGCATCAGGAATCAAGAAGGAGAAGATGTCTTAAGCTTTGCTCTAGCCTACAACATGATTGTAGCTAACACCCTCTTTAGAAAGAGAGAATCACATCTGGTGACTTTTAGTAGTGGCCAACACTCTAGCCAGATTGATTTCATCCTCTCGAGAAGAGAAGATAGGCGTGCGTGCCTAGACTGTAAGGTGATACCTGGAGAGAGTGTTGTACCCCAGCATAAGCTGGTGGTTGCTGACTTCCGCTTTCGGATTCGTGTCCAGCGGGATAAGCGTGCCAAAGTCGCTAGAACGAAGTGGTGGAAGCTCAAGGGGGAGGTAGCTCTAGCGTTCAAGGAGAGGGTCATTAAGGAGGGCCCTTGGGAGGAAGGAGGAGATGCGAACAATGTGTGGACGAAGATGGCGACTTGCATTCGTAAGGTGGCCTCGGAGGAGCTTGGAGTGTCCAGGGGAAGGAGAAGCGAAGATAAGGATACCTGGTGGTGGAATGATGATGTCCAGAAGGCGATTAAAGAGGAGAAAGATTGCTTCAAACGCCTATACCTGGATAGGAGTGCAGACAACATAGAGAAGTACAAGATGGCGAAGAAGGCCGCAAAGCGAGCTGTTGGTGAAGCGAGGGGTCGGGCATATGAGGACCTCTACCAACGGTTAGGCACGAAGGAAGGTGAAAGGGACATCTATAAGATGGCCAAGATCCGAGAGAGGAAGACGAGGGATATTGGCCAAGTCAAATGCATCAAGGACGGAGCAGGCCAACTCTTGGTGAAGGACGAGGAGATTAAGCATAGATGGCGGGAGTACTTCGACAAGCTGTTCAATGGGGAGAATGAGAGTTCTACCATTGAACTGGACGACTCCTTTGATGAGACCAGCATGCGTTTTGTGCGGCGAATCCAGGAGTCTGAGGTCAAGGAGGCTTTAAAAAGGATGAAAGGAGGCAAGGCGATGGGCCCTGATTGTATCCCCATTGAGGTGTGGAAAGGTCTCGGGGACATAGCGATAGTATGGCTAACCAAGCTTTTCAACCTCATTTTTCGGGCAAACAAGATGCCAGAAGAATGGAGACGGAGTATATTAGTACCAATCTTCAAGAACAAGGGGGATGTTCAGAGTTGTACTAATTACCGTGGAATTAAGCTGATGAGCCATACAATGAAGCTATGGGAGAGAGTCATTGAGCACCGCTTAAGAAGAATGACAAGCGTGACCAAAAATCAGTTTGGTTTCATGCCTGGGAGGTCGACCATGGAAGCCATTTTCTTGGTACGACAACTTATGGAGAGATATAGGGAGCAAAAGAAGGACTTGCATATGGTGTTCATTGACTTGGAGAAGGCCTATGATAAGATACTGCGGAATGTCATGTGGTGGGCCTTGGAGAAACACAAAGTCCCAGCAAAGTACATTACCCTCATCAAGGACATGTACGATAATGTTGTGACAAGTGTTCGAACAAGTGATGTCGACACTGATGACTTCCCGATTAAGATAGGACTGCATCAGGGGTCAGCTTTGAGCCCTTATCTTTTTGCATTGGTGATGGATGAGGTCACAAGGGATATACAAGGAGATATCCCATGGTGTATGCTCTTTGCGGATGATGTGGTGCTAGTTGACGATAGTCGGACGGGGGTAAATGGGAAGTTAGAGTTATGGAGACAAACCTTGGAATCGAAAGGGTTTAGGCTTAGTATAAAACTAAAACCGAGTACATGATGTGCGGTTTCAGTACTACTAGGTGTGAGGACGAGGTTAGCCTTGATGGCCAGGTGGTACCTCAGAAGGACACCTTTCGGTATTTGGGGTCAATGCTGCAGGAGGATGGGGGTATTGATGAAGATGTGAACCATCGAATCAAAGCCGGATGGATGAAGTGGCGCCAAGCTTTTGGCATTCTCTGTGACAAGAGAGTGCCACAAAAGCTAAAAGGCAAGTTCTACAGGACGGCGGTTCGACCCGCAATGTTGTATGGCGCTGAGTGTTGGCCGACTAAAAGGCGACATGTTCAACAGTTAGGTGTGGCGGAGATGCGTATGTTGAGATGGATGTGTGGCCACACGAGGAAGGATCGAGTCTGGAATGATGATATACGAGATAGAGTTGGGGTAGCACCAATTGAAGAGAAGCTTGTCCAACATCGTCTGAGATGGTTTGGGCATATTCAGCGCAGGCCTCCAGAAGCTCCGGTGCATAGTGGACGGCTAAAGCGTGCGGAGAATGTCAAGAGAGGGCGGGGTAGACCGAATTTGACATGGGAGGAGTCCGTTAAGAGAGACCTGAAGGATTGGAGTATCACCAAAGAGCTAGCTATGGACAGGGGTGCGTGGAAGCTTGCTATCCATGTGCCAGAGCCATGAGATGGTTGCGAGATCTTATGGGTTTCACCTCTAGCCTACCCCAACTTGTTTGGGACTAAAGGCTTTGTTGTTGTTATTGTTGTTGTAAAGATACATCTACTAGTTGCAGCACTAAATGACGCTTTACGCTGCTAATTGGTCTACTGACATTTTATCAGGAGTTAGATATCCAGAAAATTGTATTGATCCCTCTGTAAACAAATGCAAATGTTTTAGGTCACTTTTTATATTTGTTTACAGAGGGAGTACAATATTTGTACATTTCCTTTTTGAGCAAGTACAACCAGCCATCTCAAGAACATCTTAATTACAGAGGTTCTAGAGGAGAATGGTAACAGTGTTACAAAGTAGCAGAGCCCATAGGTCATTAGCAATGTCCTCTTTTTCTTTTCCTTAAAGAAGGGTCTAGAGATGTTAGTCTCAGCAGTTTATCTAAATAGCATACCTTTCAGGAGAACCAAAGATAGAATCTCAAGAGGTAATGATACTGCGATAGAGAATAAACTAAAAACCTGCACAGCAGATTGAAATATATAAGCATTCGTGTTGTAGTTTTCTTACTAAGAAGCTTAAATATTTCATCTACTTCAATGTAACTTATTGAACTGAATCTGCTTGTCACGTTAATTGCATTGTATGGCCCCAAACTTTCATGGGCATAACACAGACTCGTTAACTTGAGAACTTAACATTTAACTCTTTATACACTGCCAAAGTGTTTCACTTGGGTCAATTAGGTCAATATTGGAGGCAATGCATACAGAATAGGTTTAAACCACCTTAAAAGTTTATGGACTTGAGTTCTCAAGTCCAGACATAATAATGCGATTTACTCCTGCTTCAGCCGTATTATTGATGTTGTTTATCTATCTTCATTAAATACCCGAGAGAATAACAAGTACTTACAGAGTATTTGTTAGAGCCCATCTGCCTCTCAAACACACGGAAATAATACAGAAGGTAGAGTCCAAACATCAACTCTGGTGTTGACTGAAAGGCAAATACAGATGCAAATATCCTCCAAACTCGAAAGTTCTTTATGATGTCCTGCAAGAATAATAGAAAAATGTTCAAACTTCATAAATATGTAACAAATCTCCAAGTAATAGAACATATGAAGCCGACCACATGTTTTGCATTGAAGTAGCTCGATCTCAAGGACAAATGAAATATTAATTGAACATCACTGACAGCTACAGGTTTGGATGCAATCACTACCGAGATTTAACTATTCACCTCTGGTTCCCCAAGAAAGGCTTGCAGCATTTAGTATCACTAAAAGTTTAAAACTGGAAGGTGCACATATAAAATGGAACATAAGAAAGTAGCATCGTGCGCCAAAGGTCATATTGGTCAACTTGTCACCATACAAGTTTCCTAACGATTATCCATAAGATTGGTTAACATTTAAGCTATATGCCCTGTAAATTTTAAAGTTGAAGTGTTCTGAATAAATTTGGAAGACGCGTGCCCAGATTCCAGTAAATGAAAGTTCCATCATGGCCATCAGTCAGTTAACAGTTGAGAAACCTAAGCTAACAACCTTCTGTAGCTCCTTATGGAATTCCAATAGGTGTACTTCAATGAAACTTGTATGCCCCGTAATGAATGAGGGTTAAATGCCTATAGGAGAACTTCCTGACATGCTTTGGAGCAAAGAAATAGTTCATAAGGATTCCTGTCAAATTCTTTAACAAATGGGCTATGAGATAAGAATTTTAGAAGAAAACTACCAGTCTTACCTTAAGTTTTCTTCTCTTTGTCTAGAATTGATGTGTGAAGTCTGACATAAGACATTTGAAGTTCTCCTATGTTTTTGGTTCCAGTAGGATTCTAGGGTACATGACAGCCCAATTACTGTGGCTTTATATTTCTGCGTTTTCGAGTAACTGTCCAAATTGAGTCTTAACAGGTGTTATTGAGATGGGATGCCTCTACTAACTAAAGTACCAATAGCCAATTATTCCTGCTGATTTGTGTACCAAGCCATGTAAGTATGGGGAACCGGTCGTCGCCTCATCGGTATAGCTCCAGTGCAGGCATCGGGGTAGAAACTAAAGTTATTGTCATGAAGGAAAACAAAAAAGGTACGGCCATGTATTGGAATGTCCCAGTAGAAACACCTTAATCCAAAGCCCAGCCCACCAAGGATTCATGCTACTGTGGCACACAACATAGGCCTCCAGCCCAGTAAGGATTCATATAGCTGTGGCACACAACACAGGACATTCTTTTGTACTAGTTCCACCGGTGTGGTTGGACCTAAAAAAGGGAAATGGATTACAGCAAGCTAACAAAGGGAAATGAACCACAGCAATCCGCAGTTCCACGGTTTAACTTTAAACCGGATTTGAACACCCCTGCCCTAGCATACCAGCAGAATTTACCAACCAATTCTGGAATTTACCAACCAAGCACAATAGGCACGCCAACACCTATAGTTCTTACCACAAAGAAGAACACCACCAATTCGACGATTAGACACCCATCCACCCAAATGGACACATGGGCGAGCAATCCTAGCCACTCCACTTATGACCAAACTTTTGTGTCCGATTACCGGTGTAAAATTCGGAGCCCAAAGTTTTTCCAAGCAAGGCCGAAAAACTTGCTTGGATGTCCGTTTTAGTTTTCTTAAATACCAGCGTTATACCATTCCTGGGCCACTTACACCTGAGAAATGTTATAGACCTCAATGGGCCACACTTATTTTCCGATGAAAGTTGATGACCGGCGGGAGATAGAGGCGAGATGATGCGAAAGAGCTAGTAACAGCGGCGATGACCATGGGAGTGAGCTCTATGGCGGCGGCGGCAGTGAACTCATGACGCTTGGCTGCGACGAGAGTGGGCCCTACAGCAGCAAGCCATGAAGTGGCGGCAAGACGGTGACGAGAGCGAGTTCATGGACGACGAGAGAAGGTCATCTAGACCGCCTGGCAGACTGGAACTAGCACGAGGGCAGCAGTATGTTCAGTTGGTATCCAATCTCTACTTCCCTGTAGCTGTCACTGAATGGCAGTTCATCAAAACAGAACTTTCACAACCGAAAATGTATTCAAGAGTTTTGTTGGTGGCTAGTAGAACACCGGACCGCCCTGTAAAATGTTCACAGGGGTATATATTTCAGAGCTCCTAAGCCGGGCCTAACCAACGGATTCACGCCTAAGGGCATCACGTCGCGTCTAAGGTACCAGAACTACTCAAGATTCGGCCCGAGGCTACCTACTGACCTGGTAGGAGAGGCCGAGGGCGCGGGCTCGGCGGTTCACACTGAAGACGACAGAGAGGAGGCCGCTGGCGAGGACGATCGCCCGCGTCACCGGCGCGTTATCTGCAAACAAAACGGGGCCGTTCCGATCAGGCGATCAGAACACGCCAGCTGAATCGAGAAAGGCGAATTGTGGGGCGGGGGTGAACCCGAGGTGGGAGCTTACGGAATCCGGAGACGCCTCCGCCCTGCATCGTTATCCCGCCGGGAACACGGCCGCCGGGCTGGGAGGCAGATGCGCTGTTCGTCCGATGAGGCGAGGAGGCCGTGGGCAGCCGGCCAGCCGGCCAGTACGCACCCGCGGCCGCCGCCTCCTCTTCTCGGCGGGCTCTCGTTTACTGGTTCCGGCGGGTCAGTCCCCGAGAAGAGAAGGGAAGGAGATGCGTAGGTGCGGCGGCAACAGCTGGAGGAGAACGAGTTTTTGGTTGCAGCCAGGGGTAGATGGCTATAGTCGCGGTATTCTGAGGGAGATAGAACGGAACACGTTGACGGTAGAGGTTGTTCGGGGGAGCTTTGGGCTCTCCGGCGTGGAGATTTCCACACGAATAAAATACACTAAAGGCCTTAGAAGTATTTCAAAGTGTGCCAATTATTCCCCTTAAAAAAATATAAGAGTGTTTAGTGATCTATAAACATTTTTATATTATGGAGCAGCTACCCATTAACCGGCGGATCTTTTAAAAAGATTCATCGCCTCACAAGCCATCGGATGACACAATTGATAAGTCAAACATCTTCATCTACTTTGCAAAAAAGTTATGTTGCGTTTTTTTTGTTATATGAAGACATTCCCAACATGAAGACATTCGCAACAGAGGTTATGTTGTGTTTTTTTTGTCACATAGATTGTGTTGCGGATGGGTCGTGTTGCGGATTTTTTTGCAACATGGGTCGTGTTGCAGGATTTTCTTGCAACATAGGCTGATTTGTGGGATCTAGCCTATGAGGGATCTATCCCTTAGTCGGTTTGCAACAAGGGTTTTTTTCAAAAAGGGGCGCTTTATTACTTAAAAGATTTTAAGCATTACACCCGGTCTCTGCATAACTAAGATGCACATAGTCAAATAAGGTCCTCTCGCACAAACAAAAAATAAAAAAAGCGAAATAAAAAAATCCATATGACGCTTAAAGCGTAGGGGGCCAATTCTAAGATCATGCTGCCACCCATATTGGGTAAAAGTATTCCTCGCCGTAGCCTCTAATCGTGTACACACCTCCGTAAATAGGTCTCGATTCTCCACGCGCTGTAGAGAGGACCATAAATGAAGAGTCACGGTACATCTGTAGATAACCTGCATCAGAGAAATACTTTTACCATTAAAAACCTTATCATTTCTACATAGCCAAAGCAACCAAATAACGACAAGCGCTCCCACCCTGACAAGAGTTCTAAACTTGTGATCAATCCCATGTAACCAGTTGCCAAATACATTAGCAACACTACAAGAAGGATATAAGCCAGAAGCTATCTGGATGACTGACCATATAGAACGAGCCAATTTGCATTGGAAGAATAAATGTTTTATTGTCTCATCATGGTGACAAAAATCACATTGCGGACTTCCATGCCAATTCCTCTTAATAAGGTTATCTTTAGTAAGAATGACTCCACGACGAAGATACCATGTAAAGATTTTATTCTTAAGAGGTATCTTCATCTTCCAAATCTTCTTATTATTATCAACTGGCGCATCAGATTGGAGCAAAGCTCTGTACATGGACTCCACTGAGAATTGACCATTCCCATGTAGGTTCCAACAAAATACATCAGACCCATGTGACAATTGCACCGTGGACAACCGCTGGAGTAGGATGTTCCATGATTGGGGTCTGGGTCCAATTAAATCTCTTCTGAACATCACATTTGGTGGAAATGATTCCATTACCGTGGCGATAGTATCACCCTTGTGACACACAATATTATACAGAGTTGGATATTGTTCTGGAGTGTGGCATTTCCTAGCCACTTGTCCTCCCGGAATCTAATTTCCAAGCCGTCCTTGATTGAGAAGGATCCATAGCAGAAGAAATATTTCTTCCTAGCCCTTAGACCCGCCCAACAGTGGGAATCCCGAGGCTTCCAATATACTTGGGATACCGCCTTAGAACCCACATATTTCCTTCTTAGGAGGGTTTGCCATAAACCATCTTCTGTCAGTAATTTAAACAACCATTTCCCGAGTAGGGCCCTATTCTTAACCTCAAGGTCATGAATGCCCAACCCGCCTTGGTCTTTGGGACGACAAACCACAGTCAATTTAGCCTGTCGATATTTCTTTCTCTCATTATCTCCTTGCCAAAAGAATCTTGATCGGAAATAATCCAATCTATGTAAAACTCCTTTCGGCAACTGGAAGAAGGAAATCATATATAGTACCATATTACTTAGTACTGAAATTATGAGGACCAATCTTCCACCCATAGACAATAGTTTACCTTTCCAAGAGCTAAGTCTCTTTTGCAGTCTCTCCTCGACGTGTTTCCATTCAGCATTTGCGAGTCTCTGATAATGTATCAGTATCCCTAAATATGTGATCGAAAACTGTCCCAACCCGCATCTGAATAGTTCAGCATACATGTGGGCCTTGTCCTGAGCGTCGTCAAAGCAAAACAATTCACTTTTATGAAAAATGATCTTAAGACCCGAGAGTTGCTCGAATGCTGATAAAATCCGTTTCATATTTCTCGCTTTCTCGAGGTCATGATCCATGAAGAGAATCGTATCGTCGGCGTACTGAAGTATAGAGAGACCGCCATCAACTAAATGATTTACTACCCCATCAATTTGGCCATCAACCTTGGCATGCTCAATCATGACTGCTAGCATATCCGCCACTATATTGAATAGCATGGGCGATGTCGAGTCACCTTGTCGTAATCCCTTGTTCGTTTGGAAATAGTTTCCAATGTCATCATTGACCTTAATGGCAACACTGCCTCCAGAAATGAAGCTATGGATCATAATGCGCCACTCTGCAGAAAATCCTTTCATTCTGAGAGTCTGTTGAAGAAAGTGCCAATTGTCTTTGTCATAAGCCTTTTCAAAGTCAATTTTGAGTACCACCCATTCAACTTTTTCCGGTGTAATTCATGGATTGTTTCATGAATGATAACAACTCCATCTAGGGCGTGTCTGCCTTGCATAAAAGTTGTCTATGAAGGACGAACCACATGTTCAACAACCGAATTTAGCCTAATAGTCACAACCTTCGTGAATATTTTGAAACTAACATTAAGGAGGCAAATAGGTCTATATTGTTGTATCCTTTCAGCCTCATTAACCTTAGTTAATAAAATAATCTCACCGAAGTTTAAGTGAAACAATTCTAGTTGGCCAGCATGAAGGTCGCTAAACAAAAGTAGGGGATCCGGTTTGATGACTTCCCAGAAGTTCTGATAGAACTCTGCGGGAAATCCATCCGGACCTGGGGCTTTGTTATGCTCCATTAGGAAAACCACCTTTCTAACTTACTCCTCGGAGTATGGGGCTGTTAGAAGGTTATTTTCCTCATGAGAGACCTGGGGGATGTCATCTGTTCGGGATTCATCCATCGAGAAGTTTCCTTCCTCTGATGCTCCGAACAGATTTTTGTAATAATTAGTGATATAAGATTTAAGTTGCTCATGTCCCTCAATCATGTCCTCATCCTGTTGTAGTGAATGAATAATTTTCTTCTGGTGTCTGCCATTGGCGACTCCATGTAAATATCTAGTATTCGAATCATCTTTCAGGATAAACTGAGAGTTGGAATGTTGGTACCATTTGCATTCCTCCTCACGTAGCATGTTAGCTATCTGTGCATCCGAATGATTCTTGATCTCGATTTCATACTCAGATAGAGGTCTAACCTCTGCCAAAGCTTCTAATTCATCGATGATAGATGAAAGACGAAGGTTCTCTTTTTTGAGGATGCCCACCGTATGCCTAGCCCAACCACCAAGGAATTTACGTAATGCATGCATTTTGTTATTCCATCTGTGTATTGGGGTAGACCCATCCACCGGTTTCTCCCACACCTCCTTGACCATGTCATGGAAGCCATCCCGAAGCAACCACCCAAGTTCGAACTTGAACTTGCGTCTATGTTGTGGTCGTGGCAAACCAGTAGTTAGGAGAATGGGTGCGTGGTCTGATATAGCCTCGATACGAGGTAGAGCACGAACAGACACCATAGGAAATTTTGATTCCCAATCGGTATCCATTAAAACGTGATCTAGTTTCTCATATGCCAGTTCTGGAAGACTATTCGCCCAAGTGAATTGTCTTCCAATCATGGAAACCTCTCGCTGATCCAAACTATCGATGACAGCATTGAAAAGGAAAGGCCAATGATTATCAAACCTACCGCAACTTTTATCATTTGGGAAACGAAGCAACTTGAAACCCCCACCTATAAGAATGCACTATAAAAAATACACTTCTGTGATGATACGTGTTTGTCACAGTAGGTCACATTTTCTGTCATGCATGTACATCCATGACGATTTTATGACAGAATCAAGATAGTCATACCTGTGCTGTCGTAGAACTGTTCCATGACATTACCGAAATTATCATCACGAAAGTGTCCACTTCCATGACGATAAATCGCGCGTCATAGAAGTGCTTTCGTCAAGAGTAACCGACACGTGGCATCCATCGTAATGGGTCGCCTTTAAGTTATTGGGTTCGGTTTTGGATCCGGTAACCCGCTAACAGCCATGACCAATGCCAATTTTCCACGTGTAAAATTCTCATTGGCCGATGGAACCACGTGTCAGCTCCGCGTTGGCACAGGTGTCACTCATCCAATGGGCGAGATGCGCCTATGATATGTTGACACGTGGACCGGCCCAAAAGTGCCCCATAAAGATTAAATGGGCCGACCCAATTAAAGGCGCACAAGATTTTGCCAACCATAATGGGCCGGCCCAGCTAAAGGCCCATAAGATTTTGCAGACCATAATGGGCCGGCCCAACTAAAGGCCCACAAGATTTTGAGGACACTAGTGGGCCGGCCTGTTAACAGGGTGCCATGTTTTGGGCCAAATGTCGGCCCATATTTGATCTGGTCCATTAACAGCCTGCCACGTTCTGGGCCTAATAAAGGCCCATATGAGATCCGACCCTTTTATAGCCTACCACGTTCTAGGCCATATTATGGCCCAGATTAGATCCGGCCCTTTAAGAGCCTTTGGGCTAAATTATGGCCCA